TCCGGCATTAATCGAATGATCCCCAATTTTCGTGCACAGCAAGATCAAAATATGTTGAACCAGTTGACTTTTTCGGTTGCAGGCTTCGAGATGCCTGATACCGTTGGAAATAATGATCGCTTTTTTATTGTCGGTGTCAGGCATGTTACAGAGCCATTGTTCTACAAAATAAGTTGATCAAGTTTAAAGAAGTTAACTGTAGTTTTACTAAGATACTCGATAGCATTTGAATAATGTTTCTTTATTACTCTTCACTCTCTATGTTTTTTGGCTTTTATGTGATCTATGGCTTTCTGCAAGTTCATTTAACTCTTAGAAAACTTTTAAGCACTTTCACTCTATGACCAAAAGGCAGAACCTCGGGAATTAAAATTATTATTTACTTATTACTACTGGCTATCTTTTGTTCAACTACTTGAAATATAAGTTGAAAAAAGCAGGAAATTTTCTGTCTTATGCAATTGTAATTTTCATCTACTTTTTTATAAATTCTAAATTTTGGCGATAGCATAAACATTAAGGACTTATGGTCCCATTGTAAAAAATGCTTTGTCTATTTACCGAGTCCTATCTTTTGCTCAAAAATTGGTTTCAAGTATCGAGACAATCTGTATACACCAGTCAAATTGCACCTTTGGAGATCTAACAGTATATTCCTAACTTTGGCATTTAAGATTAAAATTAGACATTTTATTATCGAACAAATTCATGGCAAATTTACTTACCGGTTCCCGATAGTGAGACAATCAACGCCGCCGCGGCTAGCATACCGTATAGTAACATTTTGTTGTTATTATTGCTTGAGGGGAATCTGCGCATTTGAATCGATCAGTCTTCTGATCGAACAGCACTAACACAAGTAATGATTGACACCCAGATGGAGGTGACGGACAACGTGATGATGGTGGCCAAGGATTAAAAATAGTGTTGATGTTATTGTTCCTTGTGTTGTTTATTATACATCCACCACATATGCACGCTATAAGGGTGCTGGTGTAAATAACGTTACGACTATAGTGGATAATCACTCGTTAGTTGTTGAAGTGCCGACCAACGGTTAGTGGTTTTGTTTACTTTTTGCGCCACTTCGATCTTTTCAAGGTCGAGCGGAGCAGGTTGTCACCGCCGGCGCCCCATCAATTCTCATGTGCCTTCATTTGATGAGGGCAACAATAACGATATAAAGCGATTACCGCGATCAGTGCCACTGCATACAACGACGCATCAACAGCAGTAGCGCTTATTCATTCATTGCGTTACTTCTGCAGTTGCTGACGATATGCCCGCACCGCTGCGCTTAGGATCCGTCTCAGCGTTTTCGCTCTAGCTTGTTTCTTTTTTGTTTAGTTCTCCATTAGATTGAAATGATATAGTATAGAAATAGGAGCTGCCTGCTTCCTGCTTCCCTTATAATCAAAGCTTCGATTTCACTGTGTCCTATGCTGTCGTATATCTATCTATACCCTGCCGTGTTATCTACAACGTACATTTTCAGTTGCGTCATCCACGACGTATGTAAAACAACGCTATGACAACACGCACTCAGTCACACAGAGCGCTCAGATGCCGTGCCAATCGAGAGACACTTAGCGCACTTTCCTTATTAATGGCTGTGATCGAACACAGTCAAACTCCTAACAAGGAGCGAAATGTAAGATATTTTCTTTAACGGCCCTATTCGTTCCCGTGTAGCTCCTGTTAACTGATTTTGTTCAGTAGTCGAGTTGTAGCTTTTATCGGGGAAATTATTTTCACCGTTTACTTTTGATTCACTGTTAGGAAGTCTTCAATGACCAAGGACTTTAGGCTTTATAACGTGTGGGCCAGAAGTGGTAGCAGCGCAGCAGCTGACCACTGTTGTCGGCAGCAATAGCAGGTTAGTAGTCCTAGCGGTTGTTGTTTCACAAAATCTTTTTTCCACCGCTGTTGACGCCTGGTTTGATCACACTGGTGAAATGTAACTGCCGCTGCGGCCGCTGTAGCCAGCGTTCATCTTCCCCCTTTGACAATAGCGTTGGTTTAGTGGAGGAGGGACATCCGCCTATCTGCCATAAAACGACCTCGATGCATACGTTGTTTAGTCGCGTCTTTGAATACGAGCGTGCGAGCCCCCAGCGACGCCGCCGTTGCCACTACTGCTGTCCACGACTGTACGAGAACGGGCAAGGCAGCCCACACAATTGCAAACGGATAGCCGCGTAGAAGCGTAAGTTCACGTTTAGCGACGTAAAACGGGGTTGGACGACGACGACGACGACGACGAAGAGGAGGAGGAGGAGGAGGACGTAGAGGATGATGATGATGATGATGATGACAGTCCCGCCACAGCAGCATCTGCCACAACCACTATTTTTCTCTGCTTCATTCTACCACTTCTCCCTTTCCGCGCCCTCCATTTCTTCTTCACTTGACTGCATGTGTGTAAGCGGGTGTCTGTGTACTAGGTGCGCAAGACTTCTAATATGCAGATGTCTACGCAGGGTGGCTGCATGCCTGCATACTCCTGTCACTATTCTCCCTTCGTGGCGGATTCTTACTTGTACCACCAGCGCAACCACATTTACCACCTCCTTTCCTATCGTTTGCGTGTACTTGAAAGATGGACCCTTTTCGTTCCTCTTTTCGGCCTGTGCGTCTATGTGTGAGTGAGTGCGCGTGTGAGTACATGTATGTCTGTTTTTAAGGTTACGTATACGTGCGCGACGTACGGCACCGCGCTCTTTGGTCTGTGTTTGTGTAAACGGGACCGTGTGAACTTTAGCGCAGACTGCCCACCGCTGTCAGAATCACCGGAAAGACGTGTGCGTTCCCGAAGGGTACGAGAAAAATAAGGAGGAGAAACAGGCCTGACTATGTATCACTAGTAAAACATTGATATCCGTCCGTTTATGTCCATGAGCATTAATGCCTAGTGCCTGCATGCACTGGTGAATGCGCGCATGCGCGTACATGTACATGGAGCATCGAGCGCAAAAACGATAAATGGAGATAAGGACGCGGAACCCGTGTGGGCAAGACCCGATCTGCTATTGGGAACGTCGTCTGCTTAGCTGCGCATGAGAGGCTTTGACGGGGAGGAGGGAACAAAGCGTGATTCTTACCCCCTACCCTCCTCCTGTTCCTTGTTCTCCACTCCACTCCGAGCTAGAACTTCCACTGCTACAAAAAGGATAGCTGTGATTTTTGCGTATTGGTGACGACGAGGTATCGATTTGGAAAACGCTCCATCGCGCCCAGGAACTAAACTGAAAAGGCCTGTTGAAAAGGGAGAAAAGTCTTCAAATCGGTCCTGCGCCAACTTACGGGAATCAAGTTAAGCTTGAAATAGGAATTTCGTACTAACATTATAATGTAGTACGAATGATTCCATGTTACAATAGTCTAGAATTGATAAGTAAACGTTTGACAAGGTCTTCGCCATCTCCAATGGGTATTTTGTCCCATACGTAAACACTCGAAATGCACTAAACACTCACACTTAATCTACATGAAAAAGTCTTCTTTACTGATCCGCGCCCGGCTGTGACACGTACCATTCGCCACGAGCGATTCAATGATCCTACTAAAATTCTCTACGAAAACTTCTATACTGAAATTTATCCTGTAACTGTTACTCTATGAAAAACGAAGAGCTTACACCCACGATCCCAGCGGTACAATGTGATACTAAGCGTGAAATGTTTGAAACCTTGAAATTCAAATCGACCGATGTGTCTATTGATTGTCTTAAGGAATCCTAATGTTCCAGTCAGGTAAAACAAAACGTTTCGAATTTTACTGCGGCTAGACATTCCGTCAGACTAAAACAACTATTCCTTAGAGTCTATGGTAACCTTTGTTTGTCCATGTGACCGATTCACATTGCCAATAAACATCCCTTTTCAAGTCAAATTGGGTTTCATTAACTGTATCTACTTTTTTTTATTGGGAGCATTGATAAACACATGTCTGAACATATACGTCGTACGTCAGACAAAATCGTACCTTTTTTTTTACTTACGAGGGTGTATTTTGTCGACAAACTCATGAATGGAAAGCAAAATAGCGAAACAATTTTACCAAAGAAAAAAGATTATTTAATTCAGCGCAGGTAAAACGACCAAGCGCAGAGACGGTGAAAATTAAATGACGAATTCAATTAGAGATAATCACATCTAATCATGACTAAAGGGTAGCACTATTTTTGTATTCGCCACCATTTCTATGAACTTTCTCCATCTCTGAACTAAGTTATTCATTTCTTCCCGAGAAGTCTAAGTTTGCTGTTGAAGAACTTGATCAGCCAGTGTTTAAGATTTCCTTTATTAGTAGATGTAGTGTTACGTATTTATTTTATCAGTGATAGAAGAAGACGCTAATTTGTCGACATGTTTTAGAAAATATGATGGGTACAGAAGGACTGGCCACTCAAGCTCAAACAGGAAGGATTTAAGGACCTTTTAATATGAAGCGAAAGATTATCACAAAGAAGACTGACAGATTTTTAATTTTTTTAATATATATATATATATATATATATATATGTATATGCCCCACTTCTCATGCAACTGGGCCATACATAAATCTTTGACGATCTTTTTGTTTTTGTCTAGTATTATTTCGGACGGAGATATGGCTTATGTTTAGGCTTAGACTATATCACAAAATCATTTACTCCTTGCTCTGCTTATATTGTCAGACACCAATAACAATTCTTATTAGAAATCAATCTGCATTTTTAATCTCGCTAAAAATTGTTGGAGAAACAGTGTTTTTATGCTTGTTTTCAAAAAAAGCTTCTAGACATGACGTCCGCACCGAATATGAAATGCACTTGAATGTTTCGATAGCTTTTAAAGTTAAATAAAAGATGAAATCAAGTTGATGTTTACGAAACGCCTAAGGTCTAGCAAACCAATGGCGTTATTGTGAACGTGTCTTTAAGTCCAACATACTTAACCTTATCATAGGTGTTTGCTTGGAAGCCAACGCTTCCAGGTTCACTCGTAGTAATTTCTTCCTGTACGCATATACGTGGTATGCGTGTGACACGATCGATTCCGGACCGATTGCCGTAAGCGAGTACATACATTTTATATTTACCTTTAAGTCATTAGAGATTTTCATTAGGCGCAAAGTACTGCGGATGTCGTGTGGCGTCCTAGCTATCACCAAAGCCGTGTAATCTATAGAATTTTTGACTATTACTTCGTAACGAAACGGCTGACACGGAGCTGCTTCCCAACGCAAGGAAACGCGCAGTTAAGACTGAAGCCTGTCGAGGAAACCGTAGACATTGCCTCACCACGTCATCGGTATCTGAAGCAATACTGTGCGGCTCATGTACGAGCGATTTCTTTCCACTGCTAAAACATCAAGTTCCAAGTATAATCGCTCGTATCCCTTCCATATTTCTCGAAAGGTCTAGTTTCGGTTGTCGTAGTAATAGTAAAGAACGAATATCTATCTCCTTTTTTGTTATTATTATTATTTTTACTCAGGTGAGTCAACGCATAGATTTTCCAAACATATAAAGGTTTAAAACACATCAAAGCAAAAAATGCCTAACAGCAGTAGGTTGATGCGGGAACTAGGAAATGACTGTACTAATTTCATAACGGTATACTGCTCTTATAGGATTACAAGTAATTAAATAGAGCAAGTTAAATATTTTATAATTATTATAGATGACTTACTTGCATTTTGCTGATATCGTAAGGTAGAAAAGTTAACCTCAGGTATGGACTGAACTTCAACAGATAAAACGTCACTACTAGATGATATGCTTAGTTAGAATTATTGCAGCGATTTTGCTTAGGCAAAAAGCTTCAAACTTAGGGAAACGTAATACGACGTCCAACAACGGAAAGCAGGATACGGTAAAAAAGGATTCTAAAACTGTAGAAATAGAACAGCGTAAAAGGAAAACGGCAAGGTAAAAATAGAATAGAATGATTTAGATCTAGGAAATACAATTAAACGCTTAATAGCTTCTTTACGGAACTTTGATTTATGTAGGTCCAAGTTTGTTATAATGATTTACGCAAACCTATTCAATCTATAAGCTATTAGCGAGCTAACGAATGCGTAATATAAAAAAGCAGATCCGATGGGGAACAGTATTTAGCTCTAGAGTTTAAACTTTGTTTGTCTGTTAAGACAAGCAAGTGTCGTCTGGCGCTGATCCAATTCCTGCAATTCGTCGATCTGCAAAGACAGGAAGGACGTCAAGTTAACTTCGTAAATTTTTTACAATGGGTGCACACATTTTTCCTCTGCTGAAAATCAAACAGCGATTAGCACACCATTTTCATTTTTGACAGGACCAAAATTTGTCTTGGCACTAAAATTCGAAATACTCGGTCTATTGATGAAGCCAGACGTATAACCAGTTGAAAAGATCAGGTTAAGATTCTTCCTGGGATGGGTGATATCATTAAAGAACAAGAAGAGGCGCAAGGCACTGAGAAGACGATCCTGGAGAACATCGAAAGAAATGCATGCTCCTAAGTCGGGCGTGTATAAGTATGAATTGCGTACATCTTGAGACTCAATAGTAGTTGATACACATAATCATCGAGATTATAAACTGCACGCCTATCTGAAAAGATCACCTGGGCTGACAAAATCGAACGTCTTACGGCAGTGTGAAAAAGGAGCTAGGCAACCGCCTCCACATTGCTTGTTCGTTCGGCGTTCATTGCTTCCTTCGTCGATTATCAATAAACCTCTATATTAAATATTCCTTAAAGACATGGTACTTCATTGAGTTGGGTTTTCCATTCCAATTCAATAAAGCACTGTGGATCTTTGTAGGACATCTTATATATGCTGTCAATCGCAGATTACGCAGAGGCTTTATTGAGGCGCATTTTCCATCGCCTTCTGAGCAGAAAACAATCTTTAAACGTCTTGTTTGTCCGTAATATCATTACGGAATCGACTGAACAATATCTCAGACGCAGGGAAACTTACGATAAACGTTAGCACTATACTGGAGCTCAGCTAATGTAAGAAATTTTGCAATGGTTTACGAAAAAATGATGTTTCATATTTTTATTGATTAATCACAACTATTTTCTTTCTTCGTAATTTCCCCAATCCTTTATTAAACAACCCTTAAAATCAACAAACCAGGTACAACTGGTATCTTTGTAATGCTTAGGTTTTATAGTACCGTTCGTAATCCCCAGTGGTAATAGGAGGTGTAATTTGTCATTTGGTTTTTAACACATGTGAAAACACAAGCCTGGAATAAAAGCTATTAAATAGTCCTTGAAAAGGGTTCAGTTAAGCAGTTTTGTAAGCATTTGACAGTTGCGGTACGAGATGGCTACGAAGTTTCATCTGCAGGTGAGTTCCAAGAATCAATGCAGCTGCCCAAGGAAAAAAATATATAAACTACATAAGACTGATTATAAGACATTTCTCGACGATGTATTTGTTCCGTTTATGATTCGATTATTTGGTTTGTAAGAAATGAGGCCAAGTGTAAAGCTTTTTCCTAGTGAAACTTGAACGTCTTGAACTTGAACTAAGAATATGTTACAGCTCACTAGGGATGTTATTCGCGTACGAGTGTACCGCTTCCAAAAATGGCCAGACCCTGTAGCAAAAATGTGTCCCAATTTCTATGGAAATCGTTTTAAATTTCGAATGATTTTACGAATTTGAAGTCAGCGTAGTCGCACCTTAGTTTCGATGCGGTAGTTTCGCAATTTCTCAGTCGATGTTAAGCGGCCTTTAAATAGAGGCCTAGATTTACTTTTACCGTTATAAATATAAACAAATGGGAATATATTTTTTAATTTATTAGACAATTATTTAATATGGTTTTCGCAAAATATTATGATTCGGCAATTCTAGAGTTTCAGAAACAGATTTTTGTGCTTGCGCTACAAACACCATCAGATATAAGAAACAAAAAAAAAAAGGTGAGGCAATGCCTAAGGTGATATCACATGCAGTCATGTTAGGTTGAACGGTTTTACGAGAATAGCAATAGGCCAACAGCACAATCTTAAACGTTGAAAACCTGCTGTATGGGCTTTTAATTTCTTCCAATGGTGCTGGACTCCCTAGCCTCTATGTTTCGAGCTTTACGTCAGGTGTCGCCGTTAGGCATTCGTTCAGACGGCTGACTGGCTCTCGGGACAAAACGAAGTCCATCTGCCTATGCCCGGGTTCGACCCCGGACCATCACGTGTCCTTAAGATTAGCAAGTAAATGCGTTACCCACTAAGCTACACCGAACGAAGTTCAAATCCTAGCCTACTCGATAGCCTCCAAAGTGGCGGCTCTATGTGCCCTTATTAAAGGTCACACTGGACAGTGGAAATACTGTATACATAGGGTGTCCTGATGTTCGAGGCTAGTTCTGTTGAAATTAATTCTAAAAATTTTACATGCACATATTGTTATTTTGCAAAATAAATTATTCAAATTAAATTACGCTAAAAATATACAGGACAGATAAACAATTGCTAATGCATTGCTGTGTTTTTTTACCTATGGGAGGAGCTGTCACATTCAATAACAGTGAAAGTTGTCAAATAAATTATGGTAGAGGTGCACTGGCGAATGATACGAAAAAGCCTCAAATTATTATAGCAGGAAAATGTAGGTCTTCAGGCCGATACTGAAGAGTGGAAACATTAGTTCTCCAGTTGAAAAGATTTACCTCGATGGTTTGGTTCGGACTATTTTTGCATGCAGGGAAGAATTTCTGTCGAGATCTCGCAAATGGTAGCTGATCAAATTATCCGATAAGTTATTCTCATGCTGATTTCTGTATACCTCATTGCTCTTGAAAGAAAACCGAATAAGTCGTCAATCTGTATCTAAGTGAAAGCAGACAAATGCGTCTAAATTTGTGTTATCTCCAAAAGCATAAATGGCGAACTTTA